GCAGCTTGGTCGGCGATGGTGAGACGACCTCATCTGGGCTTCGGGGTATAGCACTAATTTCGGTGCCAGTGTCGACTAGAAACTCGGTGCCGGAAGTTAAATCCCTAACGCAGATGAGGCGACTTTGGTGTTGGCCGGTCGCGGCCGTCGCCGTTACGGACGGGCCGCGAAGTTTCCCTGCTTCTCGGCGAAGTTGCAAGGTTTGACACATTTACAAGCTGCGGTACCAAAGCGCTGATGGTACCAACAGCTGGCCTGCCTGTTGCTAGACTTGGAACGTTTGCAGGGCGATTTTGATCGGCTAGGACGACGACGGTTCATAGTAAGCTGTTGAACCTGGCGACTAAGTGTCACAACTTGTGTTTACAGGGCTTCTAAGGTTGACTGTAAGCCAGTGATAGAAGTGCCCTGAAACGCGACGGCATTGCCCTTGCTGGCGGCGGCTAGTGGCGGTGAAGGTTCAATAACTCAATCTGCTAAATCTGCTAGTTGAGTGAGCGAAACGGAGCTCACTGTAGCGAGAATCGCTTGCGTGTTTTCCGGTAGCCGTTGTAGCCATAGTTCGCGAAGTAAAGTCTCGTCCATGGTTGAAGAACCAAGGAGTTACTGCATCTCCCGTAGCAGGGTTGAGGGCAGTTTGTCGCCCAGCTGCAGATCCCTGAAAAGCTGCTGCAGGCGAAGTTTCTCAGAGGACATATCACGCTTAATCGTGGCCTCTTTGAGAGCCTCATAGCGGTTTTCGGTCTGAGAAATGATAAAGTCACGAACCTGCATTGATATCTCCTTGGGGAGATAGGACAGGAGCTTGCTATACTTCGCGTAGTAGGAAGTGAATCTGTGGTTGTAAAACTCAGCCTCAAGAAGAGCGAACCACAAAAGAGGATCTATGTCCCAAAAAGGTGGCACAGAGAGAGATACGACGCTTAGCACAGACTCTACCTTAGGATCTAAAGGTTCCATGGCTTAAAAAATGACGCAAAAAATAGGCTACCGTATGCAAAAATAAACCGGAAAATATGAAAAATAAATGGAACGAGCTCACCGGAGAAAAGTTTGAAATATCCGGCGCTGAGATTCTTCCGGAGTCGGGGTCATCAATTTAGAGGGTCGCCTGTACCGGGAGCCCAGAGAGCGATTCGAGAAGACGGATCGAGTTGCAGGGAAACTTTTATTGGTACAGTAAAAGATTCCCTGTTACCTAGCTATAAAAGAACGACACCGTGGACGCTCTAGCTAGGGGAATGGAGCATACACAGCACACAGGGCAGTTGCGATTTGCAACCGAAGCGAGCGCCAAGCAAAAATGGCGATGAGCAAGTCAATCATTCGAACTCAGCAGTCAGTTCAACAAACCACACCGGTTGCCTAGGTGTACAATGAACTAATTTTAGTTAGAATTTTACACAGGCAAACCGGGGAATCTCCAGACTGCTACACTGTCTTTCCGCATTACCTACTGGACTGCTATTGTCAACAGTCCTTTCTCTAACCACGCTGCCCCGTTTTCCCTGCAGCGTTCATCATCCACGATCACAAGCACATCTAACACCCTGAGTGCTGACGTCTGTTGCGTGTCCGATACTACGATCAATGACTCTCATGCGGTTGCTTAAGAAGCTGCACTTTATTTGTTCTCCCCTGATTTGCTCGCATTTGGGGACGCTGATGCGGTGGCTACAAGTCAGGCTAGCGTGCACATCGTTCTCAACTCTTCGGGTGTATCATCGATGGTTGATAACAGAGTTAAACACTATCCGTTTGTTATCGCGACGTTACCATTTCACCTGTCTTTCTAGTTTCGGTATCATCATTTTCACTATTACACACGTTAGCTGGATTTTTAAAAACATAGCTATTGTTCTTTAACTACATTCTTATGATAGAATGTAAAATGTACCATTAAAAACAAGTAACTTAATGCTTTGCTTTTATTGTGCACCGAGAAAGCATTAGCAGTACGCCGTACCAACGCTTCGCTACCACGCAACCACTATCAGTCGCACGTGGACTAAGGATATTGCGAGGTCGCCCGGTCCCTAGGCAGGCTCGAACACGCGCCCTCGGATTACTAGGCAGGCTTGTGATCATTAAAGCTACGGGCTGGATAAGCTCGTGGCTGGAGCAGGTGAATACTACTACTATTGCTACCAATGCTACTACTACTGCTACTATTATTATTACTATTACTACTACCACTACTATTACTATTACTATTGTTATTACTATTACTGTTACTATCACTATTACTACTACTACTGATAATAATAATAATAATAATAGTGTCAACTGAACGCCGATGCGGCGCTTCGCTGCTACGCTGCTACCACGTCGCGCTTGGGCTGAGTATGCCGCGTGGACGCCCGCCCCTACGCGGATTCGATCCAGTGATTTTATGATTGCAAACCAGACCCTACGATTTAGGTGAGGACTGTCCGTCGCCAGGCATCCAGGTGGTGAGACATGATGCAGCTGCTGGGGGAACACTAGCTCGATCGGACCCTGGCAGGCTCCAACCCGTGTCCTTCCTAAAGGTGCCAAAATATGAAATAAGGAGGAACAGTTCGTGAATGTCTCTTGTTCGCCTGCTTAATTGGCCGACGCAGAAACAGAACAAACGCCACTAATGTCAGCTATTGGCCTTGCCTACAGGCACCTTCTGAGTCTGGAGGCAGCAACCGAAGCGAAGTTCGAAGTGGGAACTTTCTTCTCGACCATATCATTGGTTGACCTCTCCTCTTCTTCTTCCACCCCAAGGTCACTCGCGCACCACCAACCTACATCGTAGAGATATTGTGCTGGCATCCTTGACACCTAGCCCAACCATCAGAGCTGGGTACATAAAATAACGGACTCGAGTGCTTAACTCGCTTATCCTGCACCATAAACAAGACGCCGAACACTCCTGTTGCTCACCCGACTTCCTCGCCGGATATGAGCCGAAATGCGAAAACATCGGGGACTGTTAACTGTCGTGCCCATCTACAAGAAAGGCCAGCGTTCTTTGTGTGCAATCATCGAGATATTGGCCTTGCTTTTATTGCCTGAAAACACGTATCATTCTTCGACTGCTCACTGGTCCCCGTGAGATTCGAATCACTGAAAGCTAGGCTGGTTTCCGCCCTGGTCTTGGTTGTATCGACCATATATTTATTCTTCGCCAAGTGTTGGAGCAGAGGCACACATACAGATGACCCACTGGTGGTTTCCCTTGACTTGAAGGCTGCTTTCGACTCTGTTGACCGTGCCAGCATGGGCCACTGCCTATCTATGGACAGCGTGCTGACTAAATCCCTTTCCCTTCTTAAATCTCTCTACCGCGACTCTTGAGGCCGTGTGTGGGTCTACGGGAAACTGTCTCCTGAGTTCCCCACTGCTAGTGGAGTTTGTCTGGGTTGTCCCATATCTTCTTTCCTTTGTTATCGAATTGATCATGGGTGAATCCGTCCTTTCAGACTCTACCGGAGTAGTAGTTCTACCAGGTGACCGACTGAGAAACCTGGAGTATGCGGACAACATAGCTCACCTTGGGTCTGACGCAATGGCTATGCAAACACTGCCGGATAGACTGTCACGTAGCGCCGAACGGTTCGCCATGTGCTCCACACTTTCATACTGCTAAGTGCTGCTGTAGGACTGGATCGACACATCTCCGGTTCTAGCTATCATTGACCAACCACTGGCATTGGAGGATCGGTTCACTTACCTTAGTAGGTGTCACCTCTGGTGGTCACATCATGGGGGAATTTAATTCGCGTATCAGAAAGTCCCGTTGGGCTTCCAGAGACTGAAACATCTCTCAGTGCACGGTTGGATGTATAACGCTGCGGTAAGGCTGGTCTTACTGTATGGATATCACATCAACTTCACATAGAATGAAGAATCGTAAACCTATGGAATACACTACCAGAATGACTTATAGAGGCCGATTCTGTGAAGTCTTTCAAAACACGTATCGAGGATTTTTTTAAAACCTGTGCTTTTGTGAAAGGGTGCACATACAATGCAAAAAGTACCTTCTATACCCAGAAATAATGACACCGATACGAATTCCTAACCGAACAAGGATAAGCCAATAACTGATCACACACTGCCGCTGACAATCTGCAATCAACCGTTTTCCATATTTCATAACTCCATGGAGTTTTAAAGAAACTTTTCTACTTGCGGTTAAATACAGTCTCAGGATCAGGCGATTCCGCGGCAAAGAGCGTGTTTGACTACCGGTGTTTGTGAAGTATTGCTCACGTCTGGCGTGAACACCGGGTGAGCAATGCTGAGGTTCGCCAGTTGAATTTTGACAAGAAGCCTTCTGGTTCCTCACTTAAATGTTTACACTATCTTAATCGCTGACGTTGGCTAGGCCATGTTCTCCGTATGCCCGTTGATCGGCCTCCTCAGCGTGCATTATACGCCGTGGCTGCACCACGTTTGGTGAAACCACGAGATGGCGAGTCCGTGACGTGGCATAGTGGCATGAAGAAATTGACTGAGAGACCTGGTCAGGCAGTTTGGTGCCGTCTCCGTGGGTTGGTGCCTCGGGTTGGTTCACACCGATGGTTGAGGACCTTATCAGACATGGCGCATTCACGCTGTCAGTGGCGTTCTTGTAAATTTTCGTTCCATTCTGCTTAGCTTAACGCATTTCCTTGCTTTCATTTTCGTTACATTCTATTTGCACCCAACCCTAGTACCCTACCGGTTTTATTTATTGTTATTCTTGCGATGTGAATCGTGGCAACTGGATCCACCGCACTTCGGTGCTTGGACCATAGTCGTGCAACTGAAATGAACTGAACTAAGAAGGTACCGGTGATCGAGCACAATTATCCTGTTAATGTCTGTCGTTCTGGTGACTTGTGCTTCGCAACCGTACATGGCTGTCGTTTTCCGTTTTTAAACATTCCGACTTTAATGATCTCCGTTTCCATCGTGGCGTCATCACCATCGCAATGCTTTCACAATTTATGTTGTTTCGAAACTTTACCCCATATTTTTTATTACAGGCTATCGATCTGCCATTGAGCGCGCGCTGTTTACTTGGGCTCTGCAATTTTCTCTGATACTTGCCTTTTTATGCAATGCGATCGTTAACCAAGCTCCAGTCTGTACTCATTGTTGCTGGTGGTTTCGTTTGCTACTTCCTCGCGGACGGCTACACTTATTCAATTGGCATACTCTATTCACATCTCCTGTCAACCTTCCAGATAAGCAGTTCCTCAGCTGCGGCTCTTCCCGGACTACTTTACTCAGTGCCTCAGTTCACGGCAATATTTTTATGCCCCTTGCTTGACACCTACGGGTACTCTTCTGGCGCTGCCTGGGGAGCGATTCTCTTATGCATCAGTTCTTTGGGTACTCTGCGATCTTTCTCTATCTTCTCCTACTTTAGCCTCTGCCTTTGCTCCAAATATCTACGTCCTGTACTTCACCCTCGGTGCAGTAGCTAGTGTCGGACTGCAGCTGACCTATTCATCTGCAATTATGGCGGTCACGGATGCATTCAAAAGTGCGAAACTGTGAGTGTACGTTACTTTGATAGCACTTTCTGGGTGCCTAATAATTGTAATACTACTACTGATCTAATGGGCCGTTTGTTGAGCGCACGCGGACTTCTGCTTTCTGGGTGAATTCGATGGCGATACAACAACTAGAACAGAAAGCACACTACTGAAACGATGATTTTTGCAGCAGTTTATGGCACCATTTTCAGTATTCCGCTCGATATCTGGGATGCTTGTTAACTACAATTTAAAGTGGAAGGAATTAGGCGTCATTTTTTGTTTTTGTTTACCTTTTTTGTTTTTTGCTTTTGTTCTTGTTTTGTTTTTTGTTTACCCTATTCCATTTCCCATGGAATAATTCAGTAGGTCAACTGAATTCTTGCTAATTGGCACTCATTCGTTTTGGCATAACCTCAGTTGCTTTGTGGCCGTTGACGCGTAGTCATCAAACGGCTGTGCTGTCGTCTGGCCAATCATACTTCATGCTCGGAAGATGTGCTCCACACGATGATAGGACGACATCCTTTTGTCCGGATTCACCTTTTTGAACCAGTGAAGGCAGCACTCAACGTGCTTGGATGAATCTTGTCCGGTGAAATTTAGTTCACAGCGTCTCATTGCAACGAGACTAAACCTTATCGTGATGCCGTAGTTTACGTGCCTCATTGATACAACGTGATATGCTGAATAGTGCTTCTTGCATTTTTGGAGTCACTCATACCAGATTCGTCAATGATTAGAGGACAGACAAACAGACAGAATATGAAAAACACATTACATGTATTGTAGCAAATCTAAAGTGCAAACCGTTATAGAATACAAAAGACCAACAGATAATGTGCTGCCTATTGACATATGTGTTCCAAGGCTAAGATCTTGATTTTAGGGGAAGATAAGCGGGAGGGGGGGGGGAACAAAGAAACTTACAACACAACACCAATGAGGTCGGCTCCTTGCCAAGCCAACTAGCGCATCCAACGAGACGTGTTCATCCTCTTCCGGACCCCATCCCGGCAGTCGCGATACACCAACCGACGCCGACTTCGACGTAAATGGGTTTCATTCCTCTTGAGCAAGTCATCCCTTGGCCACCGCTCATATTCTTCCATCCACACCCCGGGCACGAAAACAACGCACGACGCTGGAATCAGTGGGATGGCATGCGCAACACATGGCCCAGCCATCGGAGCCTGGTGCGTGATATACTGGTGCTGGGCGGTTCACTCGATGTTCCTTCACCAAATACACGATACCGAACTCGCCTATTGTTCACGCCGTATTTCCACCAGAGGTGAGCTATGCTGCGAAGATAGCGACGGTCGAACGTAGTAGTCACTTTGTCTGTCAACCTAATGGGCATAGCTTCGCAACCATACAGAAGGCCTGAACGCACAGCACTGTTGGTTACTCCGCCATTCATGGAGAGAGTTATTTCGCGCCAGCGCTACAGGTGGCGAAGATTAGCTCCGTATGTGAACCTTAATCGTTCCCCTTGTAGTGACCTGGAGATTCCCCCGTTTGACTGTGTAAATCATTCTAAACTAATCTAAATTATAGTTTTCTTATGTATTAGGCAAGTAATCCGTCTGTTTGTTGCTTACTTTCGTTTGAGATCGCTTCCGCTGCCTTTGCTCGAACGTGACCGGCCATCTTTGCACCCAGCACCACTTACCTCTTCCCTAACTAGATCTCTTCTGAGGCTTCGTTTTTAGCTTTAGCTACTTCTACCACCTTTCAACAGACCTTTTCTTAGCTTAATTTCGCGTATTCTCCGACTCGCTTTCGGTTGACCATTTAGCTGCAAATCTCATACATAGCGCATGACCGACGCGTTATACCCTCTCTGTGCTTGCACAAGCCGACAGTATTCTGACCACGCAATACAATAAGTACCGGAGATGACGCGGCTTCAAATGCCGGCCAAACCGCTGTGTGTATTACTCTGAGCCCTCGGCTGAAGCTACTTTGGTACGTCGGATTTCATTCGGTAACTGGATGCGCGTCGTCAGTTTGACTCGCTCATTCAAAGCTTTGAAGTCGCGGGAGCCCAGTAGGCGCCTCTTTGTCACTGCTGCCTATGCCCCCACAATATGTGCTGCTGACCCGGCGAAAGAAAATCTGTTGCTAACTGAACTCACAGAGGACCCACGGATGCTGGATGGGGATCGGAACATTCAAGTTGGAAAATTGCTTACCGGTGAACTGCATCTGGGCGGCCAACTTGGTGTAGGCCTCCATAATGATAACGGTAAGTGGTTGTTACACCTGTATGAAGATTCTTAGTTATTTTTCACGAGCACTGACTTCCGACACGGCACCCGGCTGAGGGTGACATGATGCCCACCAGGTATCGTCGCAAATCGATCACATCGCGAGAAGTTACCGCTGGAAGAACTGTCCAAAACTGTCGATCTGTTTGGATTCTAAACTTAGACTACAGTCATGCACTACTATAAGCCGATCTTCGGGTGCCTTTCGGCGGATATCCGCAACGACGCTGAGTGCGCCTAGACACTCGCCAACTGGCGAAGCCAGAAATTCTGAATGCGTGTCAAAGTACGCTAGCATACCGAATGCGTGTGCGCTCACTGAAAACAGTTAAAGATCACCGGCCGCATGTTCACCAAACGTTACTAAAGGCCGGCATGTTTTCGTGTGGCAGATCTAATTGCTACTCTGCACATTGGGTTTCTACGTAGTCTCTGGAACGTCTGGGTTCTCTCCAACGTATACCGGCTTGGAGCGAACACAACGGGACTCACCAAGATATCAGGACGAAACTGCCTGCTATCCTGAATAGAGACCACAAAGTCTGATAGTCTCTTCCTACATTGGAGTTGGAAACAGCCGCTGCCCTTATTAACTACCGGAAGTTATTTCCTCCGATGCTTGAAACGGGCATCAGGAGACCTGTTGTTAACGAAACTATGTACGACGATATTGGACGTCCAGCTCACAATTTGTTAAGACGCTTAGAGCGTTGGGCTGAACACTTTGAAAACAGTGTAATTATCGGGATTTGGCAGCTTTCTTATCAGCTAGTGATTGCCCTTGCCCCTAGGCCTTCTCCTTGGATCCGCCCTGACGCACGGAAGTCCAACGTGAGATCAGACTGTTGAAATTGGATAAACTTGCAGGGTCAGAAAGGTTTCATCCAACCCCCTTCAAATTCGGCGGACTTGCTCTTATCGATGATTTGCAAAATATATTAGTGAATCTGTGGGAGCAGGTGACTCCCGACAGACTGGAGCGGCTCCGTCATATTTCCAATTTGCAAGGGAGGCTCACCTTCGAACTGCGACAATCATAGAGGGATCAGTCTGCTCACCATAACTTTTAGGTTACTTGCCTCTGTTGTTATCCATAGACTGTAGAACTAGTTAATACTAGTCCGATACGGTGCGCGAAATAAAGCACGGATATCAGAAGGCAATTGGAGTCGAACACAGCGGACTGTATTCGATGGACTACAAGAAGACGCGGACGGATGAAGCGAGACAAGAGCGAACACGTGAGCGCAGGAACTTACAAGGCGGTCGAGTGTCGAGCCGTTTGTAAGGAAGATTAAAACGAGAAAGAATAATGTACAATCGGTCAACAATTAAATTGTATATGAAAGACAGCAGTTCTTTTTGGGCACTACAAGACTGATTAACATTCGTGGTCACCAAATTTGCAGGAGTAGGATGGTTTTCCTTAATTTTGTTGTTGTAATGACAGTATTTTCATCTTACTTTAATTTTTGAAACATTGCCACTTATCTTGACGATCCACCGTGGTTGGATTTTGCTTCATCAAATATGCCTTAGATTCGACGTATTGATGGTATATTTAGCACTGTTTAATCAAAAAAGGTGTGCCGAAAAAACACGTAAGCATTGTGTGAGTGTTTTATGCGCGTAGTATATTGACCTTTGGCAGACTCACCGTCCCTCAATATCTCCAGCGCTATGGAACAGGGATGCTTGCTGTCACATTTCCTTTCTATTTTTGTCACCGAGTAATTCATGGAAGCTGCGTTCTCTGGAGCTGACTTAGGCTTGGAGCTGTTTCCTGGTAAGCCTCATTGACCTACAGTATGTTCACTACCTTGTCCCTATCTGGGACCAACCCATTAGAAAAATTAACACTGGCCATCAGTCGTTTTGAGCTGTGTTTGCACCTTCCAAATGCAAAGCTTTCTTTTAAGACTAGCAGCTATCGCCCCTTCCACTTACTCTTAGTAGTGATCATTTAGAAGTTATTTAAAAAGTTAGCATCCGGACAGCTATATTAAGACCTGTGTGATAAAAGGTGAGACCATATACCGTATTGTAAAAGCGCCTCAAGCTTTTGTCAATTTTTACCACTTGTGGCTTCGCCGCGGTATCAATCTCGCTCTGAATGTTTATAATGTTTGTAATGTTTATAACGTTACCCATAGGCAGACCTAAAACTACTAGATATGTTCGACAATTCCTGCCTTCGCAGTTTAGCTCATGTCTGGTGGGAACACCGCGTGCGCAATTTGCCTGCTAGACGTCGTGTATTTGGTACAGAAAGATCGAGTGAACCGCTCATCACCATTGTTTGGCTTACCAGGCTCTAATGGCTGGTCCACTGTTGTGGTCTCCGCTGACCGTACGGATAACTTACTACCGACTTCCGGGATCAGATGTCAGTGGACTCTGCCAACTCTCTGTTGAATATCAGACATACTGTATGTGCAGGTAGAATATGGACTCTAAATAAATGATTCAAAGGAGAGGAATTTAACTAAATTTCGTGGCTTCCAGCAATTGATGGATGCCTGCAAATGCACTTGTTGGTTGCCGAAAGAGTGCGCTCCCTTGAGGCCTTCAAGGTTGGTCTTTCTCAATACTGGACTGCTGGATAAAACATTCTAATTGGCTAACCATTTGGCCTCAGGCTGCACTGGGCCTATCTTCTTGGGGCTGCTAGCGAGAGGACTGGCTCCCAAGGTTGCTATGAGTTGGCTTGCTTAATATATTTCTCGCAAAAATCGATATACAACT